AGTGTAGCATCCTTTCTACACTATGTTACAATCCTGTGCAACAAAGACCAGCAAACTGTACTCCTTTTTTAACTTTCTTTTTATACGTTGTCTTGTCTATGCCAATAAAGGTCTGATTGATTGATTGATAATGTAATGTGTGAAGCCCACTAACATTTCCTGAATGGAGGCTGGGGGAACCATCAATAGCATGGGCAAGAAGAAAGAAGGAAAAGGAACAATGCAAATTTAAAGTAAAACTTGAAGAGTGTCAACCAAGCACCAAAACAGTAGTACATCGAGTCCAACAACAGTGCTAGGCAAATATAAGCATTCAGTGCCTCTCACACTATCTCTAGCTACACAGTTCCAGGGCCAACTAACTAGCTCACTAGCGCTAAAACTGATGTACTCCAAGCAACCCACTGGGGCTACACTGCATACAGTCATATTTGTGTGGGTGTTCCAGTGCTAGAGCCATTCAAGAAAAAATTGGACACCATCTGTCAGATCTGTTTTGATTTGGATTCCTGCATTGAGCAGGGGGTTGGACTCAATGGCCTTGTAGGCCCCTTTCAATTCAATTATTCTATGGTTCTACGAAATTTGCATAGGGCTGAGCTGTCAGGTCTGAAAACACCTACATAATCCTAGACATGCTGGGTGGTCTGATGAATTAAATGAGGCTCACATATAACCTGCTATTGTTTTTATTGGCTTCAGCCCCAACCCTCAGTTGCCATTTTGTGATTGATTCTTGTTGATGGATCTGGACCTCTAGTGCAAGGAAGAAATATAGGTTCTATCAGTGTGAAGTTAGCCCACTCTCCGATACCTAACGTATCAGTATGCACTTAACATTATACAAGTTATCAATATCTATATTATCAACTAGTATGGTTATTCACCTTCTCTGTCACCGAGTCACATTTTTGCTAATTATCTTCCTTCTTGAACATGGTCGGCAGTTAATCTTCATACATGAGCTTACTTGGTGCCTTCAGTTAAGCAGCGAGAGCGGCAAACAAAGATTTCTATTTGGCTCTCTCAATACAAAGGAAGGGTACAAACTATACTTCACAATTACTTACCCTACTGAGACAAAAAAAAACCCCACCGTTTTCAAAAGGTACGTGGCCTGTACAGATAAATTTTGAATTTTTATAGCAATAATGTTCAATATAAAATATTCCGGAAATTTATAATATTTTCTTGGCAGCTATCATCTACTTAAAATTATCTCATCTTATACCAACCCATCAATGCAAAATCTCTCTTAAATGTCATGACTCATTTTAAAAATGTGGTCTACCAAGAAATGTTGTTGCATTTTATCATCAAAATTTTATCCTTAGCATTAATTTTAATACATTTACTTCCAAGCATGAATACTTTCTTTAAAATTTCAACAATTAAGAATGATTGTTGTGGGTTTTTCGGGCTCTAACTAAAATTCAATTAAGAATGAATTTTTAATTCTTACCATGAATAAAAAGCCTAAAAGCAGCTGTCCCTAATCTGATGCCCTCCAGATGTCGTAGGGTTCCTTCCCACTGGCCATATATGACTACGGCTGATGAAGGTGAAATTGTTTGGAGGGCACCAGATTGAACAAGGCTTCTTTATGGGTTTTTTAAATAAGGGAATGCCTCAATCTTAAGGACCAATGAATCACACAAGAATTTATGGCCAAGAGCTTCATTCTTGTTTACCTTTAGTCTAGGTAATTTACTCTATTCCTAGAACATCTTCTCTAGACTCCAATCCCATTTTCTCCTTAACAACCCATCCTTCTTTGTTCTTTAAGATACAAATCAACCAGGCAAACCTTCCCTATTTCCATGGTACTACTTTATCTCCTAGGTACACCATGGCCTTTCCAGCATGTGGCAGAGAGCTGCAAGAGGAAGGAGGGCTATCATCTGCATACTACACTGATACACCAAGGAGTTCTGAAACTATGAATTTAAAGGCTAGGATCCTACTGTAAATATCAACCAGAGTGGGTTCACGGAATTAACTGTTGAATGCTAAAGTCAATGTAAAATCAATGATTCAACAGATCTATTCCAGTTGGGACTATGAGGAGGATTCTGGTCTAAATATTTTTTGAATTGGTCTTTCACCCAATGTGTGCGTAGGGTTATTTACAATGAAACCATAAACATTATAGCATACAATACTTCTGAACAAAGTCTAAAACAAAGCTAATAAAAACCGTAACAGAGGAAATGCAAATCAAGCAGCACACTTATTCAGTAAAAGTTTAATGGAAGTTGGAACCATTAGTTTATATCAGCTACCTGAAGGCTGAAGACTGGAATCAACTTAATCTCCATGGGAAGGGAGTTCCCACAAGGGGGGCAGTGCAATACGAAGGCCTTACGTTGGGATTCCCATCAAACTCACTCAACAGAAGATCACACTGTCTCAGATGACTAACATAGTCTCTGTTATGTTATGTACTGTCAAGTTGCATCCAATTTACAGGATAAGGCTTTCAAGCTAAGTGAGATACTGAAGGAGATTTTACCAATATCACTGCCTATAAGTTATTGAGTGAGATTTGAAACTTAGGGTTTCCGAGTCTTTGTCTAACTCTATCCATCACACCAAAATGGCTCTCATAAACTCTAGACAGGGTCATATAGGAGAAGGTAGTTTCTCTGATAACACACTGATTCCAAATGTGTTGTAGTGGATAGAGTGACGGACTAGACTCTGGAGAACAGGGTTCAAATCCTCACTTGGCCATGGAAACTCACTGGGGGAATGGAACTACTCCTTAAATATCTCACTTATCTTGAAATTTTTATTAGGATCACTCTGCACAGAACAGTTTCTCTCATAGGCTCACTGCATCTGAAATTGTGCATATAATTAATTTTTATCTGTTATATAGATGTGACTACTCACAGATGAAAGCTTCCAAAAACAAACATTATACATTAATATGAAAGTGCCATGGAAGAGTACAAGACTGATGTCCAGACATGGAATGTAATTCCAAAACTATACTTACTTAATCAGAGGTGAGATGTATCAGAACATAACCATGACTAATTCTCTGCTAATGCTTAAATACTTAATAAAGACATTTTACAAACCTTATTACACACAGTTTTTTCTGAACCTTAACACGGAATTGCAAGATTAATATAAGAGACTGAAGGTTTTCCCTTATTTAGCAAAATGTTCATGGCAGGGCATGCTTATTGAGCTAGAGTCCCTATTACCCAGCTGAATTTTGGAGTTAATTATTAAACAAACCCTCTGTGGACTATTATCTGGAAGTCAGTCAAAGGAGGTGATTAAGTAACATTCACCATACACTTATGTTGAGTGAATTCTGGGTTACAGGTCACCCGTATTTACATCATGAGATGTAATACTGCCTTGTGCATGGCAATATCTGAACTGGGAAAAAACACCTAAAAGAAATCAGATAGCCATGATCTTGTAGAAATGCACATCATAGATTAAATCTTCCAAAAAGAAAAATCTCAAAATCCTTTTCAAAATGTGTTTGTTTCAGAGAGTACTGCAACATTCCAGAAGTACTGTAAAGGGCTTTATATTTTAGAGTTAATTAGATTTATTAGGAAACTCTATACGTTACATTAAAAGAAATCTGTTCATATTTCGTTCATACTGTTCAAGCTTCAGGAACATGTAAGAGGAAAGGCTGCATATGAATCCTAAATAAAAAATACAACTATTAGGAGTGTATAACTATATCAATGCCTCAGACTCTACATACAAATAAAAATATTACTATTTTCTTTCCCATACATAATTTATGTGTCAAAGCAACACTGTTGATATTTACTGCTTATCTTATTTTTTCCATTTTACACACACAGCAGGGAACCTAGGACTTATCAGGGATGAGTTCCAACAGATAAAAGAGTGCCCTCCAGTTCTTTCTACTTCAAAATAATGATTCTTTCCGCACTCCCAACTTTTCTGTTTCACTGCAATTCACAAGCACCATCAGAAGATGGCCAGACTCAGAAAGCCATGACAGGCACCGACAGCATGTGCTCTGTTCCTTTTGAAAAGGAAACTAGTGTGGTGGTTGAGTGCTCCTTTGAGCCGAAAAACATTTCAAGGCCATTCCCTGTATTTTGACTGGCATACATAACCTGAGCTGATGTACGTCATTTTTGTACTGTACTTGGAAAGAACGGCAGATATCGGGGTAAACGTCTATTTTTACCATGCAGATTTCACCACGACTCTCTCTGTCATATGCTCCCTCTCTAAATTTCCGTCCAGACTTAAGCCCTCTCTCTACACGTTTTCAGCTGGGCTTTACACTCGTGACAACATCTAGAACAGAAATGGACAGGGAACAAGCCGCCTGCCACTGGATGGCCAAAGGGGAGAAGGAGCGAAAGCGAGTTGAGAAAAGAGGCACCAGAACGGCAGAGGCAATGCCTCTAAAAATCAACCTCACCCCGCGGTCCTTTTGCACACGGCCTCCGAGGACACCCCGGGAAGCGGGGAAGAAGGGAGGGGAAGGGAAAGGAAGAGAGAAAGAGAGAGAGAACTCCCGAATCCGCCTTTTCAGACGTCCACGCCACTCGCCCAAAGCCACAGCCCAGGCTAGAAATTTTCCACGTCGAACCCAGCCTGGTCTTTGCGCTCAGGGAGTGGCGGAGAAAACGATGCAGACCTCCGGGACAGGCTGGGCGGTGGAGGAGTGCGCCCGCCCGTTTGTGGGGAGAGGGGGGGTGCTGGAGAAGGGAGGAAACAACCAAACCCCACCACCGGGAGAACCCGCCCCAATCCTACTGGAGCGCGGGGACCCTCTTTTTCCCTCGCCAGACACCCTCCGCCTCCCCCCCAAAACGACAACCTCCAACGAGGCAGGACCAATCCTGCCACCAAGGGGCCAGGTTTCCAGGCGGAGAGAGCCTCCTTGCCTCGTCAAGCCCAGCTTCCCGCGTCCCCTCCCGCCCCTCCACCCAAGTAGCTCGAAACCCCCCGTGAGGGGGGGGACTCGGCGTTTGTTTTACCTTGGCAGACAATGGCCAGGCCCCGCCGCTCCTGTGCTGCCGCTGCTGCCGTCGTCGTCGTCTTCCGCTGCTGGTGGTGGTGGTGGTGCTGCCGCCGTCGGTGGATCCACCACCATCGCTTTCAGGTGACGACGGCCTCGCCGGCGGCTCCAGCACCTACCGGGTCTGCCCTCATAAGTACGCGCAGTTTCCAGCGGCTCTCCCTCCCCTCCTCCTCCTCCTCCCGCTTCGCCGCGGGTCCCCCTCCTCCCCGAGGTGCGTCTCCCTCGGCTCGCCTGTCCCCGGGAATGCCGGCGGCGGGGAGGCAGCGGCGCTCCGAGGCCTGGCAACGGGCAAATCGGGGGGCTTCCTCTTGCTCACCGCCTCCTGACCAAAGGGCGAGTTTTTCGTCCGGCAAGGGAGGGAAGAAAAAAAAGAGAGAGAGAGACGCCGACGCCGCTTCCGTCTCCCTCCTCTTTCTGGCTGCCGCTGCGCGCCTCAATGACTCACGGCAACCACTCCGGGCTCTTCCTCAAACGCGAACACCCCGGCTGCCTTGCAGCAATCCCAGCTGTGCAACGGAGGCGGTTAGTCCGGCCGCTTCGGCGACGGCACCCCGGCTAGGCACCCCTCCGCCGCCTCGGGTGCCGGGAGACATCCTGGAAGGCTGGCTCCTGAGGAAGCGATGGGCGCGGAGAGGTGGTGGTGGTGGTGGGGAGCCCGTAGTACCTGGGCGAGGGAAAGGGCCCCAAAAGTTACCACTTGTGGCTTTCCATGCGCGTTTCCCGCCTCCTCCTCCTCCTCCTCCTCCGGCGGCCCTTCTCCCTCCCCTCTTCCTCAGCAGCTTTTGACTTTCACCTCCGACTTTCAGTTCAAGGTGACACCCTCCAGGACCCAACAAAAACCGACCTCCAGCCGACACACTTCGGCAGCCCCCTGTGGAAAAAAAAAATCGGCTGAAAGCAAACGGCGAGCGCCGAGAGGAGCGAAGCCCCACCTTGTGGGCGGTCTCCCGGGACCCGAGGAGGAGGAGGGAAGGCCTCCCGCCGTCCTTCCAGGAGGTGGTAATGGAGGCGGGAACGAGCCCGGCGGAGTCGGAGCTCCATCCCGTCCTTTTGGCTGCGCCTCCGAAAAGTTAAGGGCAAGGAAGGGATGACGAACAGAAAGGGCGGCCCAGGAGGGCCGGCGAGCAGGCGGGCGGGAAAATCCCCAAACCCGTCCCCTGCGCCCATGCAAAAGAGAGCTGCGTCTAGGGTCATAATTTTTGCGTTTGTCATCGCAGGGCAGCCAAAAAAAAAACAAAACCACCAGTAGTTTCCGTGGTGAGGAAACTCCCGCTCCCTGGGCGTGGGAGACGCCCTGTCAGGTGCGACGCATTTCTCCGTGGGTTTTCTCTCTCTCAGGAAGCCAGGACGAGAGCTTGGGGGGGCGGTAATGGAGACTGGCTGGCTAAGCCGGAATGATGCCTCCTGGGCCAAGTGACCCACCAGTATTCTGAGGTAACAGTAGGCATCCTACCTCAGCTTTCCTACTTACCTACCTACCTATACATACACACATACCCCGCCTTTCTACTTAAAATGGCCCAAGGCGGGTATCCACCTCTACTTTCCCTGCCCTGAGAACAAATGAGTGCTCCGGGTTTTCACTCACATCGGGCGTACCCAAGAAGTTGGCGTAGCAAAACAGCATCTCCTCCCGCGAGTTGGAGGAGGAAGAGGCCGGGCGGGGAAGAGTCTCATTTGAAATCCACGCATGCTATTTTTTTTTCTCGCCCATCCGTATCTCCTCAAACTCTCAGCACTTCAAAGATCTGGAAGGCTTCAGCTACTCTTTGCCAAATCTTGCTTGTACCAGATTATTTGAAATTCAGTAGAGGAAGAGGAAAGCAGGGTTCGTTGGATTGGGGGACAGAGGCCGGTTCAGCTCTCAGAAACGTTCAAGGTTAAACAATGGAAAAGCTGCACAATCCCATTGCTGCTGAGTCTTTCTCCTTCCCACTCCAACCCCCCCCCCATGTCTGTAAATTTAAAATGGATATTGGTTAACACCATGTTCCACTGGTAAGGCAGCACTCACTCAGCTACCTGATCACAACACCTTGGCTTGCTTTATAACTGCTACTGTGCCTTAAGCATGGAGGTTGCACAGCTGTCACCAGTTGTTTTTTCTGAAAACTCTGTTGTTTAGTCATTAAGTTGTGTCTGACTCTTTGTGACCCCCATGGACCAGAGCATGCTGTATTGTGACATTGAGTTGATGACTTAAAAATCAACTGAGGCTGAGATCTTGCATTACCTTGAGGTCTTCCAGATTGAGGGCTGGGGTTGGAATCCTTTTCAGCTGTAAACTTTTGGAAATGCTGCCTGATGGGGGGGATGCATAGAGATCAGGAACTTCCTGCATAGCATTTTTAACTGTCAGCAATACATGGGTGATACTCAACTCTGTTTCTCCTTGTCATCAAATTTAGGTGAGGTACTAACATGCTTATCAGATATCTGAAGAGAGTGCTGTACTGAATGAGGGCTAATGTGCAAATCAGTCCAAATAAGATGGAGCTACTGTTCACGGCTGGTTTCACTTGGACTAAGGAAGTGGTGTTTGGATTATTCTTGATAGAGTGGTACTACTTACAAGGCAGTGGTAGACGACTGCCAGACTGTAGACAGGATGTGGCTTGTAGGTTCTTTGAATCTGACAACAGTTTTCTTGCCTCTAGCTCCGTCTCTTCATCCCACGTGACTACTGAGCTGAGAAACAGGTCCAGTCCACACAGAGTCTTTTTGCTATCCTTGAATACTGTCTACGGGGATAGCTTGTAGGGGAGGTGCAACAGGTGAGGGAAAGAGCTAACCTCTTTTTGATGCACAATCTCCACAGAGCAATTCTGCTTAAAGAAGAAGCAGAGTTTTTATTTGAAGTGCAGTAGCCATACAGAGAGTAGGGTTGAGGAGGGAAGGAGTCTTTTAAATCCATGCATAGCTTGAGATCTCATTTCAGCTATGGGTATGTAAAAGAGAGGAACACAAATGTACCCAAGCATGCAAAACAGTCTTCTTCCTTTGCATGTCTTCTCAACAACAACCAGATTTCTGGATCTAATTCTGTCTAGGTCATCTCATTCTTGCACTTCCAGTTGATCCACTTTCTGCTCACCCTAAGGCTGTAGAAGTAAAGTTGCAGTTCTAGGCACTCTTACTTTAAAGTAAGCCTGACTGCATAGACTTATGTTTCAATAAATCTGCTTAGGTTTACATGTGCTGATAATATTGCAACACAAGTGGCACAGGGAATTGTAAATTAATACTTAGCTAATGTAGAAAACCGAGTGTATACTTTAAACACCAGGAGAACACAATCTGGGCTGTCCCAGAACAGGCCAGACTGATTTTGTTATCGTTTGTGAACACATCCCTCAAAATCCCCTCCTTTTCCTCTTGGAAAAATGTTATGAACATTCCATAACTATATAAAGCAGTATGGTCAACACATTGTAAAATCTACAGACTTAATTAAATGATTTAGTTCAATAATAAATCAATCATGTTTTCATGCCAAGCCAGTGTCTTGGAAATAAACACTCTGTGAGAGAAATAGCTGGTCTTCTATAGAAGTCTTAATATTTTTTAAAAAAAAACAACAACACAGGATGCTTATAGATGCCAACTATTTGCAAGAAAGCATTAGGAGCTCCACATGGTTTCTATTTACATTTTCAGTGGTTTTCTATGCAGTGTCAGGCCCTCCACCCAATTTTCAAAGTGCTGAATTTTATTCTTTTACCACCATCCCACTACTACAAGAAGTGTAATTGCTACTAGAGAACTGCCACCACATGCAGTATCACCACTGCTACACCCCATAAAATATACACTGAAGCAAATTATAAAATCAAGTACTGTACAAACTATTTGGAAAACCTGCCCTAGAACTAGTCACTTTAAGCTGTCCCATTATCAGCACTTGCCATGTAGCCATGTAACAGGAGGTTAAGAGACAGGGTTTAGCCTTGATGCTGGGCAACAGAGTTTTAATTAGATAAGTCAGGTTCTGGAGACTTGGTGAAACGTGATCCTGAGTAAAGTCATGATACTAATAATTCACTCCTACCGAGATTTCTCAGAATACATACACAGTACAGTATAGGGCTTATGCCAGTATATATCACCTTGAGGTCAATAGAAGAAAGACAGGATGAAATAAAAATAAGAGCAAGAACAGGAAATGCAGACTTCACTGAGATTTGCTCCTAAGCAAGCATGTTTAATATTGCAAGCTCTGCTGTAAAACATAGCTTATGTAATTTAAACTGATAAATATGCAAGGACATTCATGCTTTGGCAGTCTGAGATGTTAATTTTGATTGTGGAATTTGCTGGCCTTATTGTCAAGCAGTTCAGGCACATTTTGCAATTGAATCCTTTCAGATTCCACAGAAAAGGCAAAATGCATGTAGACAATGCATGCACCCAAAATCACTTTTGTCCTTTTTTCACACAGTGGGTTTCTCATTTTTCAGGTATCTGTTTTATACATAAGAAGATGTACTTTTGTACAGCAGTTCATGTTTGGTAGAGAGGATCTTTGTTGGAGGATGCAGTGAATGGAGACAGCGTGATCCCACAAAAAAGGCATCAGTTGTTGTAATAATCTTCTCTGTGGTAGGTACTGAATAACCTTGACGTTTGTTCAGGGCTGGGATATGACAGTAAAATATTTTAGTTAAGTTAGTTAAACAGATTGCCCACATTCTTTGTTATCATCATTCAAATAAGCATATTTGTTTTACGGATCCCAGTAATTGCTTTGCAAATCATAGTATGCTAATAACAGGATAAATGTAGAAGAGCTACATTCCCAAGGTTTCAACAGCATACCATTTAATGTTTCAGTATATAATAATCATTCTGCTAAAGCTTGGCTCAAAGTGAAGGTGCTCATAGTAGCTGCCAAAAATGTGGGCTTTTAAAATGTGTGTGTATTTTAAACTGGCCTTTGATTTAGGCCAATCCCTTTTCAGATGAGGCAATACTGTTTGTAGTTAGTCAGAGAAGCCTACGTCTCTCTTGCTTTGTAACACCCAACTCTTTTTATAGAGCGTCATTAGAAGGGTTAGATAACCCCTTCAAAAATGGGGCATTGTGAAGTGTTCTTCAAGAGACAAAAATCCACTGCCCCTTAAGGCGTATGAAGAGAAAGGGGAGAAGGGAAGATACAAAGCAATCAATTAATTAAATTTTTAAAATCGAATTTACGGTGTGTTTCACTTCAGGACTATTTTTAGATTGTTTTAAATTGAAGTTTGCACTGAAAGCCTGAACAAAAAGGGTGCAATAGTTATGAATCTTTTCTTTTGAATCAGTGGCATCACTAAAAATATTTCTGAAAAATGTCAGTTTGGTTCCCCTTTTTGGATGTACACCTTGATGCAGAAGCCAGGAGCAATACCACATGGGGTCTAGCTTCCATTATGATCCTGGACTCCTAACAGGGTCACCCAAGACAGACTGTTCATGGCTGAGGTACCAGACATAGATGCAACCACCTTCTTCATGAGTAATGGCCATATCAGTAGAAGAGAATGAATAGTTTCAGTGGTAATGGGGACTAAGAGACTTCTGAAGCTGCTACTGGGCAGCTGAAAGTGATGCTGGTGGAGGATTTTTCACAGACAATGGCAGTGACACTCAAGGTAACTTTTGTTAATACTGTGCAGAAGAAGGGAATTATAAACTATGGTTGAACCTTTCTTACCCAGTGCTGGAAGATCTCAGAAGAAGGTCACATGATCTGTACTGTGAATGCTGGGGGAGGGGCAGAAACAAGAACCGCTGACTGCAGTCCCTCTGTGCCAAAATATTTTGAAGGCCTGTTTTGGATGTAATGAAATGGTGAAGTAAACGTCTGAGTCAGTGCAACACACACACACCCTTCAGGTAAATTAATTTTGCGCTACCCGCATCCCAGAATGCACACTAGAAAGTGATCTTGGAATTTCTAAACCCTTTCCTTGGGGGAAGCAACCTGAGGAAGAAAAGCTGTATTGGATCACAGGCTGCCTGTCTGTTTCCCAAAGAATATCCTCTCACCTTTTAAAATAAAATAAAAAGGGAGGCTGCAAATTAGGAAAGATTGTCACTGGAAACCAAGGTCAAAGTCATCCATACTATTTGAAAGAGGGACAGGGAAGAAAGGGGGGAAATCAACTTATTCGAAATGTGGTGTTGAAGGAGAACCTTACAGATACCATGGACCATCAGAAAGACAGATAAATAGATGCTCCATTAAGCTAACCCTGAACAATCACTAGAACAAACTTGAGTCAATTGAGGCTATCTTTGCGCCTATAACAAGAATGCAGAACTGACCAGAAAAGGCTCAAATTTACCAAAAATTGACTCATGCAATCAGTTTGCAAGTTTTGCAAGAAGTGAGCAAAATTCACAGGAAAAGACAATATCACTAGGAAGCTGGGGAGCAATAGGAAGAAAGGATTACTAAATATGAGACTCAATAAAGAAAATGATTGCTGTTCATTTGCAAGATATGAGCATAACTGTTAATTATAGGACATTTTGGAGGTAATTAATTTTGGAGTTTTTACAACCCTCATGCTTTCTGGAGATGTTGTGGCTGTGGGGGGACCTTTTCTGGCCTGGGGTGACTGTCAGTCCACCCAGCACTAACCAATAGTTCCTTCCTGCCTCTGAATTCAAAGAGAGACCTGCCTCTCTGCTCAGTCCTTTCCCCCTCTCTTTTGTAGGTTAGAAGCAGTTAGTCTGTTGAAGCCTGTTGCTGAAAAGCAGTCACCTTTGTCAATTTGCTGTTTGATCTGTTCAGTTGCAAGTAATTAAACCTTTTATTATTTCTTTTTCTAAGGTATCAGAGTGAGCTATTGACACTGTAACTGCCAGTTAGTGGGTAAAGGGGGTGGATTACTCTTGGGGATTTGAAGTTATTCTGTTCTGTTAATCCCTGCACTTTTGTGACCTGATGGCAATTGTTTGTTTGTTTGTTTGTTTGTTTATTTATTAGATTTATACCCCACCCCCTAGACAGCATCTACTTGAGGAGGATTACAAATATCATAAAATATCATAAAAACATCATAACAGTAAACAATTAAATCAATAGTATGGTGTATTCAAGATGGAGAATAATAGAAAACAAGAAGATAGATTTCAAGAATTGACAGGAGGGAAGGCCTGCTTAAAGAGCCAAGTCTTTAAATGGCTCTTAAAAACACCCAGCGAAGGTGCCAGGTGGATCTCTGTTGGAAGGCTGTTCCATAGCCACTGCTGAGAAGGCCCGGTTTCTTGTTCTTTCTTTCCGGACCTCCCTCGGTGTTAGGTCTCTCAACCGTCCCTCCTGGCTGTGCCGAGTAATTCGGGTAGATCTAGGTGGGAGAAGGCGATCTGCCAAATATTGAGGTCCTAACCCGTTTAGGGCTTTATACGTCATCATTAATACTTTGAAGTCAATGCAGAAATGAATGGGCAGCCAATGCAAGGCAGCCAGAGTGGGAGAGATATGCTGATATTTTCTCACCCCACTAAGGAGTCTGGCGGCCGCATTCTGCACCATTTGGAATTTCCGCATCGATCTCAAAGGTAGCCCCACGTAGAGCGCATTACAGTGGTCTAATCTCGAGATTACGAGCATGTGGACAAGAGTGGTGAGGGACCCCCATCAAGGTAGGGTCGCAGCTGGGCGATCCGCCACAGATGAAAATAGGCAGAGCGGGCCACAGACGCCACCTGGGTTTTCATGGTAAGCGCCAGGTCCAGATGTATCCCCAAGCTGCGGGCCCCACTCTGTGCAGTGAGAGTCATCCCCCCAAAAGAGAGGGAGTTTCCCAAACTGCCAATGGAGGGGCCATGCACCCTCAAGACCTCCGTTTTGTTCAGGTTCAACCTAAACCCATTCAGCTGCATCGATTGCAGTACAGCCTCCAAACACCGCTGAAGGGACAGAACGGCATCCAGTAAAGCAAGTGAAAAAGAGATGTAGAGCTGGGTGTCGTTAGCATATTGATGGCACGAAGCCCCACATCCCCTGCTCACCCTACCTAGCAGCCTCGTATAGATATTAAACAGCCTGACCCTGCCTAGCAGCCTCGTATAGATATTAAACAGCATTGGGGAGATGATCGACCCCTGCGGAACCCCACAATTGAGACTCCACAGGACTGAGACACTCCCCAAGCTGTGCTCTCTGGGGACGGTGCTCCAAGAAAGATCAGAGCCAGGCAAATGCCAGGCCACAGATTCCCAGCTCGGAGAGCCTCCCCAGGAGGATAATGTGGTCAACAGTATCAAAGGTGGCTGAGATATCGAGGAGGACCAACAAGGACATATTGCCCCTGTCAGCCTCCCTTAACAGGTCATTCAACAGTGCGAACATTGAAATCTCTGTGCCGTGGCACGGCCTGAAGCCCGACTGAAACGGATCCAGGGCATTGGTTTCATTCAAAAGAGCTTGAAGCTGATCAGCCACCACCCTCTCCACCACTTTACTGAGGAAGGAAACATTGGCGACGGGCCTATAATTGCCAATATCATCCACCGCCAAATTTGGTTTCTTCCTAATGGGCCTAATGAGTGTCTCTTTGAGGGCAAGAGGAATCTTGCCCTCCTGGAGAGATCCATTAATTATCATTGTGGCCCAGTCCATCGTTGTGGGCCTGGCTGCTTTGATTAGCCAGGCCGGGCAAGGGTCAAGAGAGGAAGTGGTGGCCTGACAGCGGTCAAGCACTTTGTCCACCAAATTTGGCATCACAGGCTGAAAGAATTCAAGTGTCACCAGGCAAGGCGGAGCGCTGGACATCTCTGATCGATCCACTATGTTTAAAGAAGGAGAGAGCTCCCGGCGGATGGTATCCACTTTTGATTTTAAAAATGCTGCAGATTGGTCAGGTGAGATATTAGTGGGAGGCCCATCACCAGACCAATTCCAGATAGATCGCGAACTATACAGAAAAGTTCTGCCTGCTGATTTGAAGCTTAGCTTATCCGGTCAGTGAAGTGTGATCGTCTAGCAGCCTTCACCTTAGCCAGGTAATAGTTAGTTGTTATCCTGACAACTTTCTTATTATAATCCGTTGGTTTATGTCTCCAAATGCACTCTACCGTCTCCTATTCTGCTTCATAGCTTGTAGTTCCTGGTTATACCAGGCCCCTGTCTGAACTCTGCACCAGAGAGGGCATTTAGGAACGATCGTGTCTACAGCCCTAGTGATGGCAGCATGCCAGCCATCAACCAGAGCTTCGATAGGAGCACCAGACAGATCAGCTGGAATCCCTCTCATGGTATCCTGGAATCGCAATGGATCTAGTAACCTTCAAGAGTGGACCATTGAAATAGGTCCATGCTCCTTGCGGGGAGGGAGTGACACTAGGAGGTTACATTTTATTAAGTGGTGATCTGACCATGACAAGGGGACTGACACCAGGTCAGTCACCATCAGACCATGCTTGCTCCACTCAGTGGAAAATGCCAGGTCTAGCATATGGCCTCCCACATGTGTGGGACTGTTGACATGTTGGGACATGTCCAAGGAAACCATGGTTTCCAAGAACTCAAGAGCTGGACTGGAAACCTCTGCCTCCGCATGGATATTGAAGTCACCCAGGACTAAGAGCCTCGGGGACTCCAACAGTGCCGCAGAGACAAAAAGTCCACCAGCTCCGGTAGGGAAGTGGCTGGGTCGCGGGGAGCGCAGTAACCCAGCAAGATCCCAATACCATCCCTGACCCCAACAGACACATGGAGGGCCTCCAGACCTGTCTTTACCACCGTAGAGCGCCTGGTACCCTCAAGAGTATTTCTATAAACAATGGCTACTCCCCCCCGCCCCTCCAGTCTACCCTGGTGCAGGAACGCATAACCAGGAGAGCAGGCAAGGATCAAGGGAACTCCCCCTTCACCACCCACCCAGGTCTCAGTTATGCACGCCAGATCTGCATCCTCCAACAGAATGAGATCTTGAATAATCTGGGATTTATTGGACGCAGACCTAGCATTTAGCAGCCCCAGTTTTAGAGTGGAGGGCCAGCTGATCTGACTACCTCAAGACTGGCAGTTGGTTCACAGTCCCAGAACAGTGAACAGCCTTCAAACATCTGTTCACTGTTCTTCTAACACAAGTAGGGAGTGTACCATCGCCATATCTCCCTCTACCCGCAATCACTCGGATATTCTGAGGACCCCCGCTGGGGGGGGGCAGACCTTCCACTCCATGTCAAGAAAGAAAAGTAATAAGTGCACAAATTAATACAGATGCGATACAGTAATCAGATTAATAAAGGTAATCCAAATGTTAAATCATAATACATAATACACATAATACACTTTAAATTAATCAGCAAAATAACAAAACAAAATAAAACACAAAACTAAAATAGTATAAATAAGATAAATAAAATAATAATAATAAAACAGGTTATATCAATCCCAAAATCCCCCCTCACAGTTGGTACTATTCCTCTGTGTTTTAATTATAGATCTTATTTTCCTCCAGGATGAGTTCAGGTTTACAAGAGAGTTTTTTATTGGAAAAAAAATTATTGCCAAGGAAGTGTATAGTGACAAGATGGATGGAATAGTTGAGGCAGCCAACTAACAACTATGACAGAATATAGGCACCAAAGCTGTACTGACAATGAGTAAGACCATCCCCAGTCACAATACAAAAAACATTGATTTCACAGCTTAAATGAGCAAACTTTTAAATATTTGTTATCTATGTTTCTTTTAATGTTTGTATCAGCATTTTAATAACCAGACATATTATCCCCTTGCAGGCATGAATCCCAAACAGCCTATTTGACTAGGAAGGAGTTAAAAAGTTCTCCCCCTGAGAGTCAG